TCTCTCTCTCTCTCTCTCTCAATTGATCAATCTAGTCTCTTAGCTCTTTTGTAATGTAATTTGCAGGGTCTGGGATCTTAACTGGAGCGAGGCAGGAAGTCCAGGAACAAGAGGAGCTTTTGATACGTATGTACTCTTTGCTTTAATAACCACTTCTTTAGTTTACTAATCCCGTTAAGTGAACATGCCTAAGAAAAAATTACACTTTAATCCCTTCAACTCGACCGAGCTCAACTTTCATGTTGTTTCCCATACACCTCAAATCACATTTATTAGTTTCATGATATCATATTACAAACATCCCTCACAAATTGGATGAAAACTTGTGTCATTTTACTTGGAATTATTCGATTTTAAATAATATTATTTGTTCCTAATAACTAATCTAATGATAACAATAAATTAAGTACTCAAATTAAGTCTTTACAACATTGTTCTTTGATTTTTCAATTTGCCCAAAAATATAAGGGTAAATTATACTTACACCCTCAAAACTATCACTTTTTAAATTTTTGTCCACTCAATTACTAGATTTCTCACATTGCATCCTAAACTAACAATTTTGTTTCATATTGTGCCAATTACAAACATCTGTAAATCTTTGTTCGGGGTAAAGTAAAAAATTTTACATAATTCAGTGGGTAAAATAAAATAATTTTCTGTTAAATATATAACAGGGATTAATAATTGAGGCAATTTGTTAGTTGATAGGATAATGTGAAAAATTTAATAGTTAAAGAAATAAAGTGAAAAAAAATTATAATTTAGAGAGTATAAACATAATTTACCCAAAATATAATGACACCTAAGAGATTTCCTTCAAAATCTAACCCACAATCAATTTTGGGAAAGAAAATATTATTTTACACCTAATTTTGAGATCTAAACAATTACAGTTATTGGATTGAAAGTGGGTGCATCTTCTTAATGCCAAGTTATGATGAGAATTATTCAATGTGTGCAGGATTGAAGGAACAATTTTCAAGGTTATAGTGGAAAACGATGAACAGGTAGAGCTCTCATTTGCAAGAACATGGGATCCCCATTCCTCACCTACCAGCAAGCACTCTCCCTTAAATATAGACAAAAGGTCCTTCCCTTAATCTCACATACACATACATGCACATCTGATTACACATACATAAGTAACTATTTCATGAAGTGATCAGGATTTTTTACATGGTTGATGTTGATTTATGATGATGACGACGATGGTTTAGGTTCATAATGCTTCGCGGTTGCTCGGGGTTTTACTCGTATGCCATATACGAACATGTAGAGGACATGCCTGCTTTCAACCTCAACGAAACCAGGATAGCTTTCATGCTCAGCATGGACAAGTATGCACATTATCACTTACTGAACAAATCTACGACAAAATGTTTTTAAGTAGGTCAAGTTACTAATTAATGAGGTCCAAAAAGAAATAGCATAGAAAAATTCTAAATATGTGTGTAATGGATAACCGTAAGGCATGTTTTGTTGGTTTGATCTGCATGTTAGGTTTCATTACATGGCCATAGCTGACGATAAGAGAAGAAGCATGCCCCTCCTAGAAGATCGATCACCCTCAAGAAGCCAACAACTGGCCTACCCGGAAGCAGTCCTACTTGTGGATCCTGTGGAGCCAGAATTTAAAGGAGAAGTATGCCTTCCACTCTATTTTTCAAAAGATAAATCTTTGACTAGATCGGAAAAAGGGTTAGTTGAAGACAAATCTAGTTCAAACACTCTTGACTGTTGAATAAAAAAAAAAAAAAAGACAAATCTTTTGTGGTGGGATAGATTGAGAAATTAACCCAAGTACAACCAAGTGTATTGTGTATGTCTAAATTATTTACCTTAGTTACACTAAGCAAGCTAAAATTCAGATTGAAAATGGGTTAAAATCTAGTTTGATTCTCAAGTTAAACAACTCAAACAGGTTATTTGAGTTCAATTCTAGTTTAATTCAGGTTAAATCGAATTTGATTCTCAAGCTACAGATCAAGTTTGGATGGATCTTCAAAACTCGAAACCTGAACCTAAACAATATCTCAATTCGAGATGAATTAAGTATAGTATTGTAAATATTTGTTCAAATACTGAGTATTTCGGATAGAACGGGTGAAGTTCGGATGGACCCACCACCCTTACCCGACTTTACACTAAAAAATCTTCTCCTAAGTTGCACTGTAATGTCTTGGCAATTGAACGATAGTATTTAATTGTGTTTACCATTGATTTCTTGATGGGCAGGTGGATGACAAGTATCAGTATTCGTGTGAGAACAAAGATAACCAGGTCCACGGGTTTATATGCTTTGACCCACCCGCAGGGTTCTGGCAAATCACACCCAGCAATGAGTTCAGGACTGCTGGCCCTCTCAAGCAAGACCTAACCTCCCATGTGAACCCAACAACTCTAGCTGTAGGTGACAAATAACCATCCTTAATACTACTACATTTTTTTTATCAGGAGAAATATTTCAACATTTGGGTTGCTAATGGGTGTCAAACTCGGATGGATTATGCGGATTAGAAGTTTACCCAATTGAATTCGAAATTTTTCATCTCGAGTTGAAATTCCATATTACACAACTGGAGGTGAAATTTGGGTCGAAATTCAATTAATTTGGTATCAGAAAACCCGAGACTCTATCTGAATAATATTTGTATTTGAATTGGGTATAGTTTTTTTTGTCCAAATCCAACCGAGTAGTTAAGTATTTGGGATTAGTTGCAAGTTGAACTGTCCAAATAGAAGCTAATTGTCGTAAGTATGATAAATTGTGCCTCAAATAGGTATCGATTGCTCTGTACGATGCTACTAATCTGAACAATATCAATCAATTTGATACTCTCAGATGTTTGTAAGCGCTCATTATGGGGGAGAGGATGTGGTGATCAAATTTGGATCAGGCGAGCCATGGAAGAAAGTTTTTGGCCCAGTTTTTATCTATCTTAATTCTGTCTCGGATCAAAATGACGCACTTTCACTTTGGGACAACGCCAAAGAACAGGTTTGAAAATGAAATAATGAAAATGCATAACTTTTTTCCACCAAACACATATAACACAAGATGTACTTTTCGATTGATAATCATTTTTCATCCATTGGTATTTAGATGAGGAAAGAAGTTCAAAGTTGGCCATACAGTTTTCCAGCTTCAGAAGATTTTCCACATGCTGATCAAAGGGGTACCATTAGAGGTAGATTATCAGTCCTCGACAGGTAATCTTTAACACCTTAATCTTTCGAGTGTGTGTATGATGGTTTCATCTCATCTTTTGTAATAAATGTATAGATATTTATTTATTTCTTTTTTTTTTGTTATTGATTAGGTATATCGGCAAGGAAGCTATACGTGCAAATGGCGCTTACGTGGGGTTGGCTCTACCTGGGGTTGTTGGATCATTTCAAAAAGAATGCAAGGTGATTTTAGGTTAAAGTTTCTGAGTACCATGTTATGCTAGACCATTAGTTGCAGAAAAATTGCAACATCCTGTTTTTGAAGTGCAACGTCCCGATTTCCCAGATACATTATTATATATATTAATTGACAACTTAACAAAATATTTTTAAATACACGGTTAGAGTTCTAATTACATTAATAAAAAATTAAATTGATAATCAAATCTTCAAATACAAATATATCTCTCAATTCTAACATTTATTTTATAAAAAACTTGGAATGTTACTATCCCCCTTCTTAAAATGAATTTTTCCTCAAAATTCACATACTATAAGCTAATTACTTTTCTTACGCACTCTAATATCATATGCACCTTATACATTCTAGCAATAGAAACTTAGCAAGCTCATTCCCCAAAGTATTCATGTAAAATCTGCAACTTAAGCTGTGATACTACTCGGTAACGTCCCGATTTCCCGGATACTTTATCATATATAATCCAACAAAAATATTTCCAAATATAAGGTCAAAACTCTACTTACTTCAATAACAAAATTAAATTGATAATCGAATCTTCAAACAAATACAAATACATCTCCCAATTTTAACATTTATTTTATAAAAAACTTGGGATGTTACATGCAGTCAGAGGATAATACACCTTGATAAGATAATAATAATGTTGTGATTTTCATATCAGGGCTATCAATTCTGGACCAGAGCAGACGACCAAGGCCAATTCTCCATTAGCAAGATTCGTGCTGGCGATTACAATCTTTATGCATGGGTCCCTGGTTTTATTGGAGATTATCGATACGATGATGCTATTACCATCACTACAGGTCCTATATATTTATTCAATTCACCTTTGCTAAAGTTTCAAGTTCTTGTATTTCATTGGAGCATTCTGTTATGCATGTATAATGTAACACAGGTTGTAGTATTGATATGGGTGATCTTGTATATGAGCCTCCAAGAAATGGTCCCACATTGTGGGAAATCGGCGTTCCAGATCGTTCTGCTGCAGAATTCTATGTTCCTGACCCTAATCCAATGTATATCAATAGACTTTATATAAATCGTCCGGCGGACAGGTAAGACTTATTTGCAAAAATAGTTACAGGTAGAGACTCTTCTATTCTATATAGTATTGTACCATTTGTTGGTGGGTCTTTTGAACATAATAAGGAATCAGTCATCTTTTGTGGATAGGTTTAGACAGTATGGATTGTGGGAAAGATACGCAGAACTATATCCTAATGAAGACTTGGTCTATACAGTTGGAGAGAGTGACTATTGTAAAGATTGGTTCTTTGCTCAGGTTACCAGGTGCAGACTTTCACATGAATTTTAATCTTCTTTCTTTTGTTCTAATAGAATATCGAAAAACATTTGAAATTCCAAATATGAAATCAAAAAATAAATTTCAAGACTGTAGAATTTATTAGAATTTTGGTGATGTGAATGCAGGAAAACAGGTGACAATGCATATAAGGCAACTACATGGCGAATCAAGTTCAAACTTGACAATATTGATCAAGCTGCTGGAACCTACACACTGCACTTAGCACTCGCATCTGCCAATTCCTCCGAATTGCAGGTGTGCATTTGTGAGAAAAAAGCCTGCAAAATGTCTAACCCTACACACCCACAAAGACAAATAGATCTAATTTCATCTAGAGTAGTTTCTTTCAATGTTCTTTAATGGTAGACCACCCATCGTGTAGTGGTGGTGATGGTGGAAGAGCCACTTATATATAGTAGTTCCAAAGCAAATTCGTGGTAGATAACTTACTAAGAAAAGGAGAAAAAAATGCAATGGAGCGAAATCCAATCCTATTCTTCACTCCACCATTTGTTAAGTCTATTTACTCTAGAAAATGACTATGTACCGAGTTCAATACATACTAAAAGTGATTATTCAATTGGGATTAGTTATGATTCAAATTAGGTCAAATTACGACTCAAAAGGTTAGGTATAATTCAATGGCATCAAATTACGATTCAAAAGATTGGGATCAATCTCAAACAATTCAGCTGAGTCATGATTTCACACGATTTAATTATAACTTTCACTGGATTACTGAAAAATAATAGTATGAACTCTCTTTGCAGGTTCGGATCAATGATCCGGAGGCAAACTCTCCTCACTTTTCAAGTGGATTAATTGGGAGTGACAATGCAATTGCATGGCATGGCATTCACGGGTTGTATTGGTTATTCAGTGTGGACATACAGAGCGCTCAACTCATGCAAGAAGATAACACGATATATCTCACCCAAGCAAGGCACACCACCCCTTTCCAGGGAGTCATGTATGACTATATCCGTTTGGAAGGTCCTCCATCTAGTAGTTCTTGAATAAGCTTTTTACTATAATTCCATGGAAACATGTTCTGATGATCTTTTCAACATGTTTATAATACACATTACCACTATTTTTCTTTAGTTTAGTGGCAAAATTAACATACATAACAAAAGTGAAGTTAATTTGATTAAAAAAATAACGTATCCATTGCCCAACATTTCTGTCTATACCATGATTTTGGAGAGAGAAGTGACAAGCAATCTTGTCTCAATTTAGAGAGGTTAATTCCCATTCATAAATATTTGACGTATCAGTTGAAGTTCTAGTCAAATATCTGCGAAATTCACAGTGCATCACCCCATCCCCCCGAGCCACAAACTCTGTTTTAAGATCAAACTTTGTGCTAATCTCGAGGAAAAAAGATTAAGGGTCTGTTTGGTTGGTTTTTTGGAAGGAGTTTGAATTGGCTTGTCCAAACTCTTCCAAACCTAAACCCTTTTTTATAAAAATGGAATTCAACATTCAAGCTCGTTCATATTCATGTTTGGTATGCACATAGATATATCACTATTATGATAATATATTTATATATAAATAATTATTATATCCTTTAACCAATTTAATTCAAACTCATGTTTGTATACATACATTTTCTTGTGTCCTTATGATTTTAATATTTGATTGTTTGGCGTATAAATATTTTATTATTTTATTATTTGGGGTGTATGAGTTATATGGGGTATAAATGTCATTTTGTATGTTTAATTCTTTAACCCTATTTGAAACTCAACCCCAACCCCCATCGGGTTTCATAAAACCTTGAGCTTGGGTTTAAACTGTGGGCCTAAAGTGGGCTGGACTTAATAATTTGGGCAAGAAGTTTAGTTGTCAAACATGAGTTTGCTAAATTTTATGAACTTTTATTCTTTAACCCATCTTCCAAATTCTCCCTTGTCTCATATATCAAACATACCGTGTTCACTTATTAGACAATAATGTCATTTATAACTAACTTGTTGACCTAATTACTTGACTTAGATTGGAACAACTAAACTTTATATTCACGTAAGAGCACTTGCTCTTTAGCTTCCAATTAATATTAATGATAGGAAAAGGCTATGATACTGAAAGTTACAATAATTTAAAGTTAAGTTATAACTTTTTTGAGGTATAAGTTACAAGTTTTAAAGGTCAAATTATAACTCAAAAGGGAGAAGTTACAACTATTCAAGAGAAGTTCATGATTGATTGTGTGTATCTATGATCGATCATAGACTTTCCACGAACAATTGTAACTTTTCCATTTTGAATCATAATTTTACTATAAAAATAATAACTTTTGGTACGTTACCCAAAGCGGTACCGTAGAGTTTCCCTTAATGATGGATTCTATGCAAGATTTGCATCTTATCCCATCATAGCATTTCTATCTCGCCCTGCCCTATGTCTTGTGTTGTAGCAACGGGAGAGTAAAGAGATGAGATATCAAATCCGTGTTAAGATTGTGCATGACGTGTGATATGTAAATATGATATTTGTATTTGTTGATTGAGATATTTTGTGATACTCGATTATTTGGTATTCAATGTCCTTGAGCATACTTTTCTTCGTCATATTGTATACTTCCCTACTTTTTTTTTAATATTTTCAGATTGATTTTAAAGAAAATATCGAAACGAGATAATCCAAGTATTAAAGACGAGGGGATGTCGACATAATTGATGTTTTATTCATATTGAGAGATTAATTTATAGTGACAGATTTATTTGTATTGGGAGATGATTTTGATAGTAGGACAATTAACGTTCTGTTATTTTTATTTGGGTGTTTTTATATCAATTACGTCTCTGAAAAGAAGAGAAAAATCGAGATATTACAAATGGTATCAAAGCTTAGGCTTTAGATCTTATATGAGATTTGTGATTTGTGGGAAGTGAGCTCACAACTAGAAAATTTGAACGCTTGGAAAAGATAGTGGAATTGTTGCGGTATTATAGCAGAGACTTTAGATGCAATGAATTGAGAGAAAATTAGTGTAATTACACCTTTATTGAAAAAAAATTCAATAACACCCCTTTCTTTTGAACAATAAACACTTTATATTCTTTTTCTTTCTCGTGTTACACTTTGCACGCCAACAAATTTTGGAATTCTTGGTGAACTAATTTGCTTCCAGCTTTTGGATAATTACATGAAGGTCTCCTTATTTGTAAACATATTACATATATGTTTAACTTGTGACGGATGTAGAAAAAAAAAAATAATAATTTAAGGAATTTCAGAGACGAAATTCTTTTCAGGAGGGTAGATTGTGAGATCCGAATTTTTAGAAGTAATTTAAGTATAAAATATTAGGAGTTTTGATGTGAAAGTATAAAGAATATTTAAGTTTTATGGTTGATATATATAATGAGTGAAATAAAAGAGAATAAAATATAAATATTTTAACTTTATGATGCTTTGGTCTTCGCCCACGTGAAGATTTTGACAAAAAAAAAGAAGAGACAAGACAAAGTAAAGACAAAGTAAGAGAGAGAAAGAATAAAAATCAAGGAAATTCAGCAAGCATTGAAGGGTGTCCAGTTGAGCCGAGAACAAGGAAGAAGAAAGGGAAAGAGAAAACAAATGGGTGTTTTTAGTTCAAACCGAGAGGAAGCAGAAGAATGAAATAGAAATCAGAGTTATCGAATTTAAATGATTATTTCGAGGTATGGGATGGTATATAATATGCTCGCCTTAAATTTCTTTGTAAAGAATATTTATTTGATTATCCTCTGATTTGTATCTCAACTTGTGCTATCATTATATTTTAGAATTTTGATCGAATGTCGTTGAATATTTTGATCTTATTGATCGTATTCTTAATCTCATTGATTGTGTTCTGCGGATATTGAGACAAGATCGTGGCAGCTAATAGCCGATGCATTGCCAGCCAAGAGACCCGTGAGATCAGGTTGAGGTGGGATGATTGGTGAAGTGTTAGATCTGTGTTAAGATCCTGCATGACGTGTGATATGCAAATATGATATTTGTATCTGTTGATTGAGATACTTTGTGATATTCAATTATTCGGTATTTAATGTCCTTGAACATATTTTTTCTCGTCATATTTTATACTTCCCTCTTTATTTAATATTTTTAGGTTGATTTAGAGAAAATATCGAAACGAGATAATCAAAATATTAAAAACGATGAGATGTCGACATAACTGATGTTTTATTCGTATTGAGAGATTTATTTATGGTGACAGGTTTATTTGTATTGGGAGATGATTTTGATAAATAAAATTTTATTGGGACAATTAGCGCTCTCTTATTTTTATTTGGATGTTTTTATATCAATTAACGTCTCCAAAAAGAAGAGAAAAATCGGGGCGTTACAGATCAACTACAAAGCTCTGTCAGAGTTTATTCCCAACTGATGTCTTGCAAATCCATCTCTAAAGAGAAGAAACATCAACAATGTCATTTTTCAAGAAATCTAAATCATCTTCAAGTCATTCAACACAAAGAACGGTGAAAAGATTCGACAAAATCAAGTTAAAGAACAAAGAACGAGATTTATGTCAATTTTACCATCGCCTTCAACAAATCTACCAAATCAAAGATCGAAGAACGAGAATTACGTTAATTCGACTCTCGTCTTCAAAAAAAATCTATCAAAGCATCACCAAGTGAAAGATTAAGGGATACGTTCGTCAAACCCTTGTTTTCACCCAATCCACCAAAGTCAACACTAAATTAAAGATCGAGAAACAAACCGTTCAGACCCTCATTATCACCAAATCCACCAAAAATCAGGTGACAAAGCACGTGACAATTATTCAACAATTATAATTTTGACATTACTTTTTGTGTTATAAAATTAAATGGACTAACCTTAAAATCTTAGACGGGTTTGCATTTCAAGTATATAGCTAGGGGGTGTTTGGCAAATCAATGATGTATTGGACTGGATTGGATTTAAATTCCAAATTAGTGAAACCCCAATAATTCGAATTTATAATGGGATAAAAGCAAATTGGTTAATTCAATCCTTGAGTTGGTTAGTAATTTTTAATGTGGTGAGACCATGGATAAACTACAATTTTTTCAAAAATATTTCATAACTTTGACATTAATCGATAATTTTATCCTTGAATCCTATCAAATCTTATGTCATTTTTGGCTTATGAATGGTTGATTACCACTTTAATATTTAAGTGTAAATGTAAGAGTAATTATGGATAGTAAATTTTCAACTTTTACACATTTCACTTAGAAAACATTTTAAGAAGGTGGCCACAAAATTATTTGATCTACCAAAAATATAAAAAAGTTTAATAAAAATCAAGAATATTTGATCCCACCAATTTTTCAATTTTGCTTATCTTAATGGACCCATCTCCAGCTCCTCCTTCTAAGTCCTTTTCATATGATGGATTGCTCTCATTTGCTTTTCCAATTGATTGTTTCTTACTCTGTTTGTTCTTCATAAGTTCTTTCCTTTCTCTCCATCTTTCACTCCCTCTATGGCTTCATTAGTTGATGATTCTTTGGCTTTAGCTTCTTCCTCAGTCTTCAGCCTTGCTTCCTCTTTGGCCCTCTCGAGCTCCAATCAAACTCTCCAAGCAAGTCTCTGCATCCCCAGGAACAGTCTTGAGCATCAAATTTTTTGCAACATCCGCAAGGTACATATTAATTTCCTCTAACAGCTCACGAATTTTCACAAACAGATGGTGGGTCTCAAGATTAAGATAATTCTTTGGCAGAACCTTGAATGCTTCAAAGCTAAAGTAGGATAATTCAATGTGTTTTTCCATTCTTCCCCTCTGAATGAGCGCCGAATCGAGTTTGTCCACATAATTTGTTGTAAAGACGACGAGTCTCTCTCCTCTACAAGCTGACCAAAGCCCATCAATGAAATTCAGAAGCCCAGACTTTCTCCATGGCTAATGTCTGAAATGTTGCGGGGTGCTTGAATTTAATGCACAAGGCAAATGCACATGAACAAAAAGCATACTTATCCCAANACAAGCTGACCAAAGCCCATCAATGAAATTCAGAAGCCCAGACTTTCTCCATGGCTAATGTCTGAAATGTTGCAGGGTGCTTGAATTTAATGCACAAGGCA